CTGAGCAAGGAGCCCGATATGGGACTCAATCCCAGGACCCTGGGATCATGACCTGGGCCAAAGGCAGCCGCTTAACCGACTGAGCCACCCAGGCGTCCCTCTACTAATTTCTTGACCTATCTTATTATTTTATACCTTTTCTTAAATATTTTAAACCTATGCAGAGAAGCTCATTTTAAATTGTTAACAGAACACTGTTACAGCAGAAATGGGAAAAAGGCCATAGGAAGAGAACATATTAAGAAGTATATGAGAAAAGAGTTTTCCCTTTTGAAATATTTCATACTTGGTTTCTTACTGTAAGACTTCTCTGATCATTTATCATGCTAATAGTGGGCATTAGGAATCTAAAGATGGCTGAATATGTGGTGTTTTCCAAACATTTTTGGCCATAGAACCATTTGTTTTGTATAAATATTCCTTGGGGCACAGTTTGGGGAGGTTTGGTCTAGTATGTGTTATATATCTGTCTTTCCTTTTCCTAGATACCACAGTCTTCAAGTTACTATGTCATTTTCTCCCAAAGTTCTCCATGTTTCCATTACCAATCCATTCTTGTTGGAAAGACTAAATTCAGAATGGTCCTTCAATTCCTCTAGCCATGGTTCTCAACTGGGGTTGGTGGAAATATATGGGGGTATGCCACTGGCCACCAGGAAGGTTAACTGCTCTGCAGTAAGATAGACAGTCCTGGAACACAGAGAATTACTTCCTTTAAAATGTTTTCTCTATGATATAAAATTGTCAGAAAGAAAGTCAAGAGCTTTTCAATTGTTATATTACCAGTTGAAAAAGGCTTCTGCGTGTCTGGATAGGTTCAAGTCACCTTATCTTATATCTCATATCTTATCTCTGTGGTGGTTTATGAACTGTGCAAAAAGACCTCACCCCCTTTCTCCATTGGACCACATGGCCTAAGTATAGTATACCTCTGCACAGACACTGAAATAGCAGACATATTAAAAAAAAAAAGTAGCTTTGTGACCTAAGTGCTATTCATTCAGTCTACTTGCCCCATACCCTATCTCTGGCCTGCCATGTGCTTCTAAAGACTTTTTTAAAAATTAATTTATTATTTTATTTATTTATTTATTTATTTATTTATTTATTTATTTATTTATTTGACAGAGAGAGACAAAGTGAGAGAAGGAACACAAGCAGGGGGAGTGGGAGAGGGAGAAGCAGGCTTCCCACTGAGCAGGGAGTCTGACGCAGGGCTCGATCTCAGGACCTTGGGATCATGACCTGAGCCGAAGGCAGACTCTTAACAAATGAGCCACCGAGGTGCCCCTAAAGACTTATTTTTTTGAGAACTGTCAAGTATTACTATTTTCCTTATTTTACAGAGGAGGAAACTGAGACAGGGGTTAAGTTAATTGACTGCTCAAGGTCATAGAGATAGCAGGTGCTAGGGTTGAGTTTCAAACCCAAGTATTCTGACTCCAAAACTCAGCTGCTTTACTGTTAGTCAAAAGTGCCTGAGTGAGTACTTCATTACGTTTTCCAGTCATATTTCGTTCCTTTTATATCGTTGTGGAATGCATTCTAATGATTTCTGGGTTTTTTTCCCTCATCCCAAATGCCTGAAACTCTGTTCTATTCTCAGACTAGATGCTTAACTATATATGTCAGCATGGGCATGTCACTTCTATTTTCTGCATCTCATCACTAAAACAAAGCAACTGTGCTAGAAACTTGCTTTCCAACGTCTCTTTTGATATTAAATTTAGTAATTCCATCAACAGTGTTAAGACGTTTATTCTCAAGATATGTCACTTTCAATTATGTCATATCAAAACCAGACTGTTTCTTTTTATTATTTTTAAAACTCGTTTCCACTGGCAAGTGAAAGTGTGTGTCATAAAGTGATATCTGGAGGGCTTTAGCCCACTGCAGTGATCTACAAACCCATAAATTAAGGACTTATATACTGCTCCTTAGGACTTCTCCCTGTGCCCCAAATTCACTTCTAATAATTTCATTGGCAAAAGCCTAAGGAAGAGGGTGCCTGGGTGGCTCAGTCGTTAAGCGCCTGCTTTCAGCTCAGGTCATGATCCCAGGGTCCTGGGATTGAGTCCCACATCGGGCTCCCTCCTCGACAGGAAGCCTGCTTCTCCCTCTCCCACTCCCGCTGCTTGTGTTCCTGCTCTCACTATCTCTGTCTCTGTCAAATAAATAAATAAAATCTTTAAAAAAAAAAAAAAAGCCTAAGGAAGAGCAAAACCTTTTTTCCTTTGAGGTAAAACAAAACGGATCTAATAACTTCCTACATGTATGCTGACAATAATAACATAGTATGTGGACATGCTTCCCAGGTCCTTATTGTACTGTTTTTGCTATGCAGTCACAATATTATTATCCACAGCCTGCCTTTAATGAGAGTAGTTTAAGTCTTTGTATACATATGCAAGAAGTACAGTGACATTTTCATAGTTTTTAAAAAGTATATATTATAAAAATAATAATGAACTTTGTGTTGTATAAGAGGAGTAGTATAATAAGGAGTTGTATAATAAGGAGTTGTATAATAAGGAGTAAAGAAATGTAAAAAATGAGAAGTCTCCCATTTCTTCTAAAATATATGCCCTGCAGAATCCTAGTCTCAAGAGAAATTAATAGTTTTTCAGTAGGCATTATGATGCTATGTTGTTGTTTACAAGCTAATTTCCATGAGAAATTAGCACACATCCCAAACTGTATAGCATTTACCATAAAGTAGCTACCTTTTTTTTTATTTAAAAAGTTTTTTGCTAAATAACTTGCTTAACTGCAATTTCTAAATTAGGACTTTGGGTATTATTGTTGTGAAGGTAAAATATGCCCATGGTATAAAACTTGAACACAAAAGCAAATAAATATAAAGAAAGTTACCTTTCCACTACAGATCCATGGTCTCTACTACCAGAATGATTTTTATATCCATTAAATCATATATCTATCTAAAAATAATGCAACATGGTATACTCTTCTGAAAAAAGTGGAAGCATTAGCATATACTTTGTTTTGCACCTTGTTTTACTGTCTCAGAAATTAGAGATCATGACATACCAGCTCATATCAATCTCTTCCTGCTTCTCTGCCATACTGTAGCCATCACAGAACTATACCATAACTGACTGAGCAGCCTCCTATGGATGGATATTTAAGCTGTTTTACATTCTTTTGACATTAAAAATGGCAAAAATAGGTAGAAAGAACATCCTGGGTGCACCTTGGTGGCTCCGTCGGTTAAGCGGGAGCCATTCAAGCTCAAGCCTGCTTTTCCCTCTTCCTCTGCCTGCCCCTCGCCCTGCTTGTGCACTCTCTGTCTGTCAAATAAGAAAATAAAGTCTAAACAAACAAACAACAACAAAAAAGAACATCCTGGCTCATCTTCGCACACATGTAGGAATACATGTGAAAGATAAATTCCTACAAGTAAAATTGCTGAGTCATAGGAATCCTCAATACATAATATTAACCTACCATCTAATAAAGTCTCCTCGATTTATAAGAGTAAAAAAGGGTATAATTTAAAGCATTTATATTGGTGCTTTCTTTTAAAGAATCCTTTATTACAGTATCACTAAATAAAATATCTATATTTATACAACTCAGGTTTTGCTCACAAATATTAGAAGGTACTGTTTTAGACCCTCCTGGTCCCCAAACATATCACATAAAAACATACATATGTACAGTTACATATACGTCTTGAGATGAGTTGCAGTTGACGTGTTATATTTTAAATAGAAAAAATTAAATATATATTAATATCTATCAGTGTTTTGGAGTCTATCCATTTCTTCCCCAGGCATACAAATTTTGCTCGGCCTCTAAAAGCTCACGGGCCCTTAGGCACTGCTTCTCTAGTGCTTAAAGGCCAAGTGAAGCCTGAAGCTAATTTGAAAAGCAAATGCCACAGTCCTTAAAATTTTAAGAACTGTTCATTCCGTATTCTCCTCTTTCTTAACTGGTTCATTAGTTTCAGATCTTTAGCTAATACTTTGCAGGAACAGAAATATTCCTAAATTCCCCAGTCCTCGAAAATAGTCACGATAGTAAGTAGGTCAAATCTGTATTGTTTAGCGAACAAGGAGATTTTTGTTGTTTGTTTAAAAGAAGTAATCCTTCAAAGTAGGGCTCTGGGTGCAGGTGAGTGGTAAATCGTCACACCGACTGCTTCCTTTTCCCTACAAAAATGTTGCTGTCAATTGTGCAACAACGAAGGCATTTTGTGTAAGGATTTGAGACTCCAATAAGGTGTTGTTGTTGTTGTTGTTTTCTGGGGGTGGGGGGGGGTTAAGCCACACAATCTTTTCCATCGGGGAGAGCTTCTCCGGGTACTTCAAAAAGATAATGATGCTCGAAAGCTCAAATTTGAACGGCTCCTAAGCTGCCAGAATTCTGATTAGAGATCTTCACTCCAGTTGCTTCGCCATTACTTAAGAAAAATATGACCCTCACTCAGGTTTCAATTATCGCAAGTACTGGGTCATTACAGAGTTCAGTGTACCTTAAAGGGCAGGCCGCCGCAGTTAATGAGAACCCAAGCTGCAAATTTGGCAGGTTGTGCCTCGGTTTTCGCACGAATCTCCACTTCGTTGCTTGCGTCGGTCAGCACCGCCCTCAGGACAAAAGGGGTCGGGGGTCGGGGTCAGGGACACTGGGGACAGTAAGAGGAGGCTATCTGTGTGGCCTGTTTACAGGGTTACTCGGGTGCAACACCCAGCCCGCCCTTCTCCCTGTCTCAGGCGAACCTCCGGCCTGAGGTCACACAGACGCCCGGGTGGCTCACTGGAGCCAGCACGGCAGCCTGCCCCAGGCCCCGACTCAGGAATTTCGCCCGTAGGCAACACCACCGAGTGGACACGCAGACTCCCGCTCCGCTCCGCTTTCGGCTCCGGGAGGGGCGGTCCCAGCGACGCTCCAGGCAACGCCTCCGCTTCCGGCCAATGAGGAACGGGGGTCGCGTCGGGGCCTTCGCTCATTGGGTCTCGCTGGTTCCGCCTGCGGTGAGCGCACACCACACGGCCGGCTGCTGAAGTCTGAGCCACTGAGTCCCGGAGTCAGGCTTTTGTCCGCTCCCCGTCATCAGCCCGCCTTGTCTTTAGCTCGGGTTCTCCCGATTCTTGTGTCTCGAGCCCTGTCGCACCAGTTTTCTGGTTTTATCTTCCTTGCTCTTGTTCTCTTTCCCTCCTTCGCAGCTCAGCATGCAGGAAAAAGACGCCTCCCCGTACGGTTTCCAGCCTCGCTTCCAGCATTTCGCCACGCAGGCCATCCATGTGGGCCAGGAACCCGAGCAATGGACCTCCCAGGCTGTAGTGCCCCCCATCTCACTGTCCACCACGTTCAAGCAAGAGGCTCCCGGCCAGCACTCGGTGAGCTGGGGCTGGCTGGGGAGGTGGGGGGTGGGGCTGGGTTGGGCGGGTAAGAGATGTCTTATATATAAAAAGCCATGCACGTAATTTATAAAATGCTTTATACATCAGGAAGGCACCCGAATGCATGTTTACTACACCCGTGATCTTCCTTGTACTAAATCTTTGTATTCGCTGGTCCAGTGATCACATTTCTTTTGATAAGCAGGACTGGAAGGAACAGTTTGTCCAACTTGCCATATAGACTTGAACTGAAATTCATGTAATTTTGGCAAATTTGCAGTTCAAAACTGAGGGTCATAACTCTGTTGAATTACCTTTAGCAGCAAAAATTATAAAGACATGTAGAGTCACCTGAAAAAACCCCACAAACCCTCAGGGTCTGATAACTCACCTAGAATCAAGATCATGCCCAGTGGCTGTATTGTTACTAAAAGTGATTTACTTGCTATGGGCTAGATAAAGACTTACAGGTAGTATGTCAGATGTATTACAAGTATGGTCTGGGATCTTCACAACAACCCTAGCCTGGACTAGGTTCTCATTTTTCTTATGGAAAAAAAAACCAGATTAGGAATATTAAGTAACTAGCCTAAGGCCACATGGCTAGTAAATAGTGTAGCTGGGATTCTAACCCCGCTCTAGAACCCTACTCTTAGGCATTAGGCTACACTCTGCTATACTCCAATAATACTAGTAATAATCTAACCCATTGCATCATTTAAGCAGTGTGGCTTAGTGATTAAGAGCACAAATCACCTAGTCAGAGGGGCTAGGTTTGAATTCTGACACCACCTCCTCTGATCTGGGTGACCTTGTGCAAGTTGCTTAACCTATCCCAGCCTCGGGTTAATCCTGAGTAAATGGGGTTCACCAGTACCTACCACATAAATTGTTGATATATATGTTAAGCTTTATGGTACATTATAATTGCTTAGTAGTTTGGTATTTCACAGTGTTCACATTTACACTTTTTCCATTTGATCCTCACAACAACCAGGTCAGAGGGCAGGACAGGTATTACATACTTTTTATACAAAAGGAACTGACCTAGAGTTAGATAATTGCAAGTTTTTGATAGAGCAGTCTTTGTTAATCCCTTTTGGTAACACACTGATGGGATCTTGGAGTATTTCAAAGTTGCTGAGCTTTTAAGGAAATCAGTTCAATAAACTTTGTAGGTCCGAAGCTTTGATTAGACTTCAAAAACCTCTTTAGTGTGTTGTTACATAAGTCTAGGAAAATTCTTGTAAACATAGCCCTTTGTTTTGTGAGGTACAGTTCTTTTTTTTTAATTAAAAAAATTTTTTTATTAAAAAAAATTATTTTATTATGTTATGTTAGTCACCATACCTTACATCATTAGTTTTTTTTTTTTTTTAAGATTTTTATTTATTTATTTGAGAAAGAGAGAATGAGAGACAGAGAGCATGAGAGGGAGGAGGGTCAGAGGGAGAAGCAGACTCCCTGCCGAGCAGGGAGCCCGATGCGGGACTCGATCCCGGGACTCCAGGATCATGACCTGAGCCGAAGGCAGTCGCCCAACCAACTGAGCCACCCAGGCGCCCCTTACATCATTAGTTTTTGATGTAGTGTTCCATGATTCATTGTTTGCATGTAACACCCAGTGCTCCATCACCGGGCTAACCCATCCCCCCACCTCCCCCAAAAAACCTGTGAGGTACAGTTCTAAAGGGCATTTTTACAACTGGTTTAGGATGCTTCTAGCTACTGTATTTGGAATCAAAACGTGTACACAATCTGTTTTCCAAGCTTGCAGTCTGTTGCTGGTGTAGGGTTTTGTGAACATGTGACTGTCCAAGCTTTAGCTCTTGGTATGGAAGTTAACCATTTAACCAGATAATAGTAATTAAATATTTTCAGAGAGCCAACCGGGGTGGTAAAATCTACAAATACCAGACACCTCTTAGTACCTTTAAGAACTCAGTGAAGACCACGAAAGAAAATCTGAGGAGCTGAAGAGAAGCATCTATTTCTCCTATTCCATTTGGAAAGCTATTGAATGGGCCAGAGGGTGGGAGTTTGCCACTGAAATATGCCCCCCCACCCCAAAGTTAAATCTCTGCAGTGAATAATTATGGAGACATGGGTACGTCTCTGTGGCAGTAGCCACATGAATCCAAACAGATTTTTTTCTGTCTGGGGAATACAGGTCACATCAAGGAGGTGATGGTGAGGGAGGGATGAGGATATCCTGGAACCCTATAAAATATGTCTACTCAGTTTGTCAAAAACAAGGAAACAAAGCAACCAAACTTAAAATATACATATTTTGGTAATATATATATATTACTAATACTAGGAGCTTCTAAATCAGAAACAATGTAAAAAGTGGTTGTTGTGTTTTGTTATATGCTATATGAGGCATGGAGAGAAAATTATAGCATTTTTAGTCAATGAATACTGGTTCTGACGTTCCCTATAACCTTTGGCTTCACTTTCCTAAAAGCTGCCCTTGAGTATTAAATAAAATGAACGAATACTCCTAGTATGGTAAAGGTAAAAAGAGCAAATTTTAAGAAATTGTGCATAGCCACTTTGCCAAGAATTACTGTGTGCTTTTTGTTACTTATGTAGAGCCAAGATCTGAACTTTGAGCATTTGTAGGATCTGTTCATAGTTTCCTATAGGATGCTAAACAGAACTTGTATCACTTATTTCTTAGGAAATGAAATATAGGTTAGAAGTAAGTTTACTCTATAGGCTCTGGTGATTCCCTTTTCCTGATGTCCCCAGATGAATGGGTAAAGATGAGTTGAACATAATAATAATGCTAATAATAAAAACAACTGTTTCTGTAGTAGTTAGCCTGTACCAGGCACCATGTAGAGAATTTATATACATTGTATAATATTATCACCACAACAATTTTGCAAATTAGTTTTTTGTATTTTATTCCCATTTTATAGTTACTGAGATGGACTTTAGGAAAGGTTAAGTAACTTACCTATTTGGCATACAGCTCATAAGGGACAGCTATAGAATTCTAATCCAGTTTGGTGGACTTCAGAACCTTTCACACCAGTGCAGCCACAATATTGTTAAGCTCCTATTTAGTTATTTATTTTAAAGATGTTATTTATTTGAGAGAGAGCAGGTGCAAAGAGAGAGCATGAGCAGGGGCAAGGGGCAGAGGGAGAGGGAGAAGCAGGCTCCCCGCTGAACAAGGAGCCTGGGACTCTATCCCAGGATCCTGGGAAGGCAGACATGTTAAGCTTCTATTTAATGGCAAGACATGTCTTAACTGAATAATAGAAAATCATCATCGTAGGATGAACCCCTAATTGTGGAGGTGTCTCTGTTAGGACTCTGATAAATAAACTTAAATCGCTTAGGATAAACTCTTCTATTCTTCAGGGTTTTGAATATAGCCGTTCCGGAAACCCCACCAGGAATTGCTTGGAAAAAGCAGTGGCGGCACTGGATGGGGCCAAGTACAGTAAGTGATTTCCATTTCAAAGCTTGTGAAGTGTAGAACCCATTCTTACATGTATAGACAAAATCATAGAGGCACAGAATTTAGAATTGGAAAGGAGTAAGGATTAGCTAGTTCAAAACTTTACTAAGACATTGAGTTTTTTGTCCAAGGTCCCATAGATGGTATAATATGCATATGTGTAATTATTAGGTAAAAATAGGAGCAAAATGGCAGAATTTGCCGGTTAGTATTCATGTGAATGCACTTTTCATCTGAAGGTGTCAGTATAAATAGATAAATATTAACTGAGTTTTATAACACTACCTCTGAGAATACAAGCTTTCTGATATTCTGGTTCATTCACCTGATAATGCTTAAAAACAACACCAGCAAACATTTACCTGGTGCCCTTGATAATATGCTCTGACAGATTAGGGATTAACTCCTTGAATCTTTTTTCATGAAGGGAGTGGATTACTATTAAATCATCTTTGTATTTTTTATATGAATGATACTGAATGAGGACAGAATAGTGAAGAGAAAATGAGTCTTACGAGTTTTCTCATAGCAAGAGTGCCGGGGTTAGAAATGTTAATGTGGGTTTTTGGGGGTTTGGGGAGTTTTGTCTTTTGTTTTGGATGAGGGGAGTTCTTTCTGAACACTAAACTTCTGTAATTTAGTACTGTACAGTGATCATTATTTCCCGCAGGAGGGTAAAGCCTGAGTATTCACATGGCAGACATTTTTTTCAAGTGGGCTCCAGAAAACACAGTTGTTTTTAACTGGGTTTAAATTTTAGCCTTCTCGGGGCACCTGGGTGGCTCAGTCATTAAGCGTCTGCCTTCACTCAGGTCATGATCCCAGGGTCCTGGGATAGAGTCCCGCATGAGGCTCCTTGCTCAGTGGGGGAGTCTGCTTCTCCTTCTGACCCTCCCCCTTCTCATGCTCTCTCTCTCTAAAGTAAATTGATACAATCTTTAAAAATGAAGTTTATCCTTCTATATGAATTCACCATTGGACTACAGATGTGCTGAGTAGAGAACTCTAATTCTAACCTAAACTTTTCTGAAAAGATTTTATAAGAATTACATTTTTCAAGTTAATTGAATTATCCCTTCTACCAGTCACAGGTGATTTTTATCATTAAGGTGATGCATTGATATTTTGTCAGGATATTTTCTTTTATAGTGTTTAATGTACACAATGTCAGGTTGTTTTTTTTTTTTTAATTGTTTTCATTATTTTTGTCCTACGTGAGATTTCGGGATCATATTTATTTAAAGGAGATTGCACACTTAAAATTTTTTAAAAACAAAATTTTTCAAATTTGCCAGACACATCTCAGGTCTGATTTTGAGTTTTGTTAAAATATTTGCTCAATTGGATATCCTTATAGTTAATGAGTGAATCATACCTTAGCTCTGTTCCTCAAGTTTGAAACTTTTTTTAGAGCTTGTCGTTTTTAAACTGTAATTTAATTGGCAATTGGCCTTTAATCTCAGAATTTTGTAAAAAATTATTTCTTTGAAGTGTTTCAGAGAAATGTTACCACCAAAGCAGAATTGTATATTTTCTCTTAAAGATATTTTAATTTTGAAACAGAAAGGGGGAATTGGCAATTGTATTTTCATCAGGGGACTTCTTGTGACTGTAGTGATGGCTGTCCTTATATGAGCAGAGAGAAGAACATAAAGTAATGCAAGGAAATATTGTAGGTGTTTTTCAACCCAGAGGTTTGACTTTTTCGGCTTACCCTAACTTGGCTTTTATTTTAGGTTTGGCCTTTGCTTCAGGTTTAGCTGCCACTGTGACTATTGCCCATCTCTTAAAAGCAGGAGACCAAATTATTTGTATGGATGATGTGTATGGAGGTAGGTGGCCTCTCTCATGCATGTTGTGTCAGCTGATATTTTAAAGACAGTAAAGTGGGTCCTGAGTTATATTAACAATGTTACCAGGATTATTGATCATTTATTATCCTTTAAAGGTATGATGGACACCTCTGTGTTGACCCAGACTTGATAAAGGAAGAGTATAAACATTTTGGGTCTATGCTCTGGAACTGCTTGTAAGAGAGATTGTTTAATAATAATTTTACTTAAACTGCTGGAATGAGGATGTTGGACCTGATCAACTTTCAGATCTATTCTACTCAGAGAAGATAGTGTTTAAAGAGAGAGTGTTCTAGTGTTACTTAAAATTTTTGCCTGCAGTGAAGATGAACTATAACCCAGTTCACGTTCAAAGAGCTTGCCTCTACCCACCCCTCTATCTCCCCCACATATTTATACACTTGGGGTTTTAAGGAACCTTTGGAAAATCTGTTGAAAATATGGACCCCTTCCCTGCAAAGGTGGAAAAGTGTGCTTAAGACTACACCCAATGTTTATCATTTTAATTTTAGGGTAAAGGGGTTTCACTCCTTGAAGTCCATCATGGATCCAAATTTAAGAACTTCCATTCTAAACAGTTTAAATGCAAGTTATTTAAAGTGGTGAGTAGGAAGGTAAAGAAGACAGGTTGCCCTTACCTTTAAGCAAGACTGATTTTTATGATCAAAACAATAGCAAAAAGTTTTGTAAATATATGTGTGTGTATATATATATATTCCAAATGCTTCCAAATAATTAAAATGTGATTTCTAGAATATTATCATTTTATCTATCTCCTATTAACAAAAAGTTGAATGTATGTAAGAGACTTCCAGTAATCATATTAACCCTCTTAGAAATTTGCAGAGTGCTTTGTATTTATCATTGTTTCCTATGATAGTTTGTTGAATAGAAATAGCACACCTTTAGTTACTTTTATAGTGCATTATAAAAGCCTCATGGCACACATAGATACAAAATCTTGAAAATTGCTATTGATTTTTACAATTCTTTACATTCTTTTTCAATCTTCTATTATCTAGGGTCAGTCTATACAGCATCAAAAGTTCAGTATATCTTTGATCATAGAGTATTTTTCCTTTTTCTTTTCTGGTTTTTTTTTTTTTTTTTTTGGTGGGCTATCAATAAGAGCAATTTTTCCTTGAAATTTGCCTATGTAAAAATCAAATCCAGAACAGTGTTTATAAGAGAAATTATTCTAAGTTGAATGATTTATCTTTTTCACCATAAAACTGTAGTTGTTTAATTTGTATTGCCTCATTTATCTATTAAAGCTTTAGAACCACATAACAAAAAGATTGAGAGAGTACAAAGAATAATAACCAGCTTTTTTCTATTGCGAAAGTATGATCAGACTAAAAATTTATTTTGAACATTGGTTCATTTATTTTAAATTTGAGTACTAGGAAGAAATTGTTAAAAAATATATTGATGTTTCAGGGAGCATGCCACTTACTGTTTAAAGAGTAGAAATTATATGTTTTCAGAAACATTTCTGCTTCATGTCATTTAGTGTGGATATCAAGTGTGTTTTATTTGACTCTTTAACTTTCAGTTTAAAATCCAAGCCTTATATTCTTTATTATACAAGATATCCAAAGTACATTTGCTGTTAGTTGTTCTTTTATTGGTGATTGACACTTCCTTATATTTTTAAAGTATTTCAACCAATGAGGAGTGAACATTTCTCAGTACAGTGTCCTCTCCATTTTGCTGATTCTTTTCTGCCTCAGGTACAAACAGGTACTTCAGGCAGGTGGCAACTGAATTTGGATTAAAGATTTCTTTTGTTGATTGTTCCAAAACCAAATTGCTAGAGGCAGCCATTACACCAGAAACCAAGGTAACTCAGTTTTCAGTTTTGTCTGTTTTCTGTGTGCTGTTTTGTTTTTATCATTTTGTTTACTAGAAGACATAATTTAAATTTGAATAACAAATTTTATTAGAATCCATTGGAAACCATCAACAAGTTTAATATAGGTCTGGCTTCTCCAGAATATTCTCGCATAATGGTTAGGTACGTGAATTCCACGGCAGGATCCAAGTTCTAATTCTGTGTCATAGTTGATGTATTATCATGGGCAAATTATTTAACCAAAGTCTCAATTTCTTCATCTGCAAGATGGGGATAATTGCATCTGCTTTATAGAAAGGTGGTTGTGTAAATTAGATGAGATAAGGCATATGAAATGCTCAGTGCAGTACCCAACACATAATAACTGAAAAAAATTTGTTAGCAAAAGCATACAATTATGTACTGCATTACCAAACTGGTATTGCTAACAGAGGTTATCACAGAGATTGGGTTGCAGGAAAGGAAGCTTGCCAAGACCCCAGACCCTAAGCATACTGGCTTTTTAAGAATTTTAAACGATACTTCAACAAAATAATAGTTACAAGTAGAGAATGGGCCACAAGCAATCTTTAGCCTCCATCCTGGGAAGCTTGCATGCCACCGGAAGGTGTTTTGTGCCTGAGTGAATGGCATATGTGATATTCTTTCTTGGGCCTCATTTAAATTCTGCATGGGTAAAAGAAGGACCAATGTCTTTTATAAGTCAGCCTTTTCCAACTTTTTGCTAATGATTAAAAGGTTTGAATTGTACTCAAGATTATGTTGCAGGGAATGCTAAAAAATGAAAACCTTTTCTCACACAAATGATTACTTTGAAGATTAACACAGGGGTGAGCTTTGAGTGATTAAGGTTTGTTTTCAAAGGAACTTGTTTTTTATCTTAGGAGAAAAGATACTTATTAAAATAGCTGGTCTGAGTCTTTCTAAGGGAGGAAAGCAAATTGTGAGTATGTTAATTCTTGTCAACAGAACTTTATGTAGTGGCTCTTTACTGACTTGAATTAATACATTTTTTTCCCCCTGAAATATCTGCCTCATCATATGAAGTAGATTTTTTAAGTCTCTGCAAAATCAACTTTGTATTTATTATTTTTATTTTAATTACTTTTTATTATGAATATGAATAACAGATTCTTACCAGAAATGATTTTTTACAGATTTTTAAAATAATCATTTCTTGTAGAATTTTCATTATTTTAATTACCTTATCTTTTCTACTGTAAGAGTCTAGAGTAGGAAGAATATTAAACTAGATATCTTGCTCATTTATATATTAATAAAGAATCATTAACCCCTTTAAAAAGAAAGCTATAGGTAATGTCATTCAGTACAGTGGCATCTTGTTTAACAAACAGAAATTTCTTCTTTTCTTTGGTCTTCTCAATCACTGTCAAGCATCTACTTTGTGCCTGATCTGTGCTAGGTTTTGGGATATGATACTGTCTCCTTAAATGAGCTGTGACCAGGTTTTCTGTTGTGTGTAACTTCTCTCCTGCACTTTAAAACCCATGCTCTTCAAGTTCTGGGTACTTATTTTTATAGTTTCTCATGCATCTGGTGTTTTTAAAGTTAATATTTAGCATATGTTTGGCATTGTAGGGATAATTCTCTTTAATAAAAATTCTAGGCTATGATCTTAATGTTCTATATTATTTACCTTTGAGAACAAAATTCCTAGACACTGAATTATGTCTTTGAAATCCATCCTCTTTTTAATGGAATGTAATTACAATAATTAACTTGGGCACTTTTCTTCTTATACATAACATTATTTCATTTGATCTTTATAACAATTCTATGAAATATTATCAACCCTGTTGTACAGATGTAAAATTTGAGGAATATGGAGGGTAAGTTACTTAACTATGACCTCTCAGAAATTAATGGGGGCTAGGATTCAGATTCAACCCTTGCAACTTCATCACCCACATTCTTCAGTGTAGTCTGCCAGATGGTTACAATATATGAGACATATATTGGTGCAGTGTATTTTTATAAACTATTATCATCTGTTGAAATGTTTTAGCTTGTTTGGATTGAAACCCCCACAAACCCTAGCTTGAAGATGATTGACATTGAAGCCTGTGCACATACTGTCCATAAACATGGTGACATCATTTTGGTCGTGGATAACACTTTTATGTCAGCCTATTTCCAGGTAAATGAAAATGATTCTTTTGGCATGATTAGTAGACTACAGATACCTGTAACTAGGAAAGGAAAGACTTGTTTGCATTAAAATCATTATCAAACTCATGGAATCTAATCATAGTTATTGATTAGACAAAGAATTAAAATTGGACCTTTTCTATCATTAGCTCATATCTTTTCAACCAACCCTAGGTTCATATCCATTATGGGACTTTGTGTGTTTTAAATGTTGTCTTAATTAAAGTTTTTAAGTTCTCTCAGGATGTGTAAACTCTCTGAAGAGCTGGCCTTATTATGTGATTTTATCTGTCAGTGCTTTATAAATAGTAGGGACTTTAATGTTTATGTGCTGGTTATAAATCAGTTGTGTTTTTTTTATATATATGGTGTGACTGAAAAACATATATGTTATATATTTAATGCGTATATGTTATATATTTAATACATATATATTTATTTTAAAGTATATTAATATATGCTATTAAATTATTAAAATATATAATTAAACCTGGCTAACCTTCCAAATAAAAGGAAAACAAAAGCTATACTGCATGACATCTCAGTGTGTGTCATACTTATTATTTCTCCACTTTCCTCCTTTCTTGTTTCTCGTCCCTCAGTGCCCCATGGACTACGCCCAGCTCTCTATAGCTTTACCTTGTTTGTATTTCTACTCCCTGTTTCACACTGTAGCTATAAGTACCAAGTCCTTTATAGTGCTCCTTTTAAACTATCTCTTTTCCTACCTACTCCTCTACATACATCTCTTCCCACCTCAAAACCTCCCATTCATCCTCTATTCCTTTTCTTCTTTCTCTTACTTTTTTCCAGATGCTTCTTTCTATTTTGTTCCTTTTGGTAGATCATCTAAGGATTGCTCTATAATTGATTAGCTGTCTGCCCTTTCCCCACATGTTCTCTCTCTCTTCCCTCCGAGTAGCCCAATCTGTTTCCTTTCCTTGTTAGGAGCTTACCTTCTCCTCGCTGTTTCCTTCCTGCTTGTACTTTATGATCCTTCTTATTACACTTCCTGTACTTTACCTTTATCCTGCAGAGTTCCTGAAAGCCCAGCTCATTTTTTGCTACTCTTGCATTAGGCAGATGTTGATAGCTCAGTTGTTTATATTTCCCCCCCTTTTGTTTTGGGTCCCTGCAATTGGCACAGGCTGCTGCCTTAGTTTGTATAAATCTGTTCTTCACCTTCTTCCATTTTATTGAGAAGACACTACCAGGTTTTATTTCGTTTTCCTCAAACACATTTCCTCGCTACGTTGCATTTGGACAGCTTCATGGGCCACCTACCTTTGGCTCACGATATATCTTTGGCTGCTTCTTACATCCACTAAAGCAGTCTATTTCCAAGTGAAAATCTCCTGGCATCATCTGTTTGTCCCAGGTGATTTTCACTCTTGGGTTCATTATCCCAACTCCTTATCTCATATACCACTTGCACTAAAGGCCAGTTAACACAGCATAGGGTTGCTCTAGCTGAGTCACAGCGAGTCCTATATATTCCCAAAGAGATTGCATGCATTGTTTTAGCTTGGGCCTGCCCAGATTACTCATCAGGCCTGGCCCTTTTTTTCCCTTCTTACTGTCACTAAAATAGGTCCAGTTTTTCTACCTTTCTGAAGCCCACATCACATTTCCGCATACCAGGGACTGCAGTTTGCTTCCTTTCAATCTGCATGCATTCCAGTTGAGTTAATCAGAATCATGTTGTCCCTAAGTGGCCACATGTATTAGTTCTATACAGTAGATCTTCTGAAAAGGTCCTCTCATTATTTTACCCTCAGGAAAACTGGATACATTCTCTTTCTTCCCTGCCTTTTGTCTTCTGGATCTTCTATAAAATATGTCACAAAAGGCAAAATGGACATACCATCGTAAAGTTTCAGAGTTTGAGAGTAGAACCTCTTGATTTACATAATTTAGATGTGAGTGCTACTTCTACCAGCTTTTTAATCTGAATGATCTGCTTCGATTTTCTTCTTTCTTTCTTTCTTCCTTCTTTTCTTTCTTCCCTTCCTTCCTTTCTTCCTTCCTTCTTTTCTTTCTTTCTTTCTTTCTTTTTCTTTCTTTCTTTCTTTCTTTCTTTCCTTCCTTCCTTCCTTCCTTCCTTCCTTCTTTCTTTTCTTTCTTTCTTTCTTTCTTCTCTTTCTTTCTTTCCTTCCTTCCTTCCTTCCTTCCTTTCTTTCTTTCCTTCCTTCCTTCCTTCCTTCCTTCCTTCTTTTCTCTTTCTTTCTTTCTTTCTTTCTTTCTTTCTTTCTTTCTTTCTTTCTTCTTTCTTTCTTTCTTTCTTTCTTTCCTTCCTTCCTTTCTTTCTTCCTTCCTTTCTTTCTTTCTTCCTTTTCTTTTCTTTCTTCCTTCCTTCCTTCTTTCCTTCCTTCCTTCCTTTCTTTCTTCCTTCCTTTCTTTCTTTCTTCCTTTTCTTTCTTTCTTTCTTCTTTCTTTCTTTCTTTCTTTCTTTCTTTCTTTCTTTCTTTCTTTCTTTCTTTCTTTCTTTCTTTCCTTCCTTCCTTCCTTCCTTCCTTCCTTCCTTCCTTCCTTCCTTCCTTCCTTCCTTCCTTCCTTCCTTCCTTCCTTTCTTTCTTTCTTTCTTTTCTTTCTTTTCTTTCTTTCTTGCAAGATGGGGGAGGGGGGACAGAGGGAGAGGGAGAGAATCTTAAGCAGGCTCCATGCCCAGTGCAGAGCCTGACATGGAGCTCGATCTCACTACCCCGCGATCATGACCTGAGCCGAAATCAAGAGTCAGATGCTTAACCGACTGAGCCACTCAGGCACCACTGTTTTGTTTTTCTTCGTCCCTCTTCTTCATCTGTACAATGAGAATCTTAAAAGTACTGATTTTATTGAGTTAGGTAAAATATTTTGTATAGTGCTTCCCTGGGATATGTAAAGAATTTAACATGGTTCTCAGCACATAATGATATCAACAGATGTTAGTTATTTGTTTTCATTTTTCCTTTTCTTTTGACCACAGAGTTTACAGAATGTTAGCATTGGAAGAGACATCATCTAGTTTGACTCCATCACTTTGGAGATGCGCAAACACCTATGTAGAGAGTCCTTTGAGTAATACCTGACTTAAAACATCCTATTTTTGAAACACCCCAAATGAAAAGTCCTGTAGCCCCTTATACTAACACCTTCCAAAGACGAAACAACTGGTGAGGTTAAAAGACACACACACACACACACACACACACAGGTACTTTCTTTTAAAGAAAATGTAAATAGGCTTCTGGCTGGGGGGTCAGTAGAGCATGTGACTCTTGATCTCAGGACTGTGATTTCAAGCCCTGTGGTGGGTACAGAGCTTACTTTAAAAAAAAAAAAGAAAATGTAAATAGAAAGATGTTGGTAATATATTTTTTAGTGAATAGTTGATTATAACTTTAATTCTCACTATAAACAAAGACGTTTTAAGACTAAAGGATTGATTTGCAGGAAAATTGGGTGAGGGAAAACAATCCAAAGAAATTTCTTTCTAAGTGACTTTACACTTGGCAAAACTAGTATAATAAAAGAGTAATTATGAAAAAAAAAAAGAGTAAGAGTCAAGATGATGGCACATCAAGCGAATAATTACAGCATACATTATCAGGTTTTAATGATCAAAAATCTAAGCATGTTATATACTCACTTGACATAATAATTGCTGAATATTTATGTCTACTACTTTATGTGTTTACTGAGTCATAAAATGCCAGCGTCTCTGCATTGTAAAATTTAGTAAGTACACTTAGGACCAGCCAGCAAATCCTCTAAAGAAACAAGTTCAGGAGACCTGTTGACCAGATTTTACCTGCTATTTCCAGAAAATTTGTGCTTTTGGATTGAATACTGGGTCCAGTGCTTTGCATTTTTATTTGGGCGGGGGGAGGGGAAAGATAACCATGAGAAATCCTGGAAAATTTTAAGATGCGTGTATTTTTGAAAAGTTAGAAAAGGAATGAAATTTATAATAGCAAATAGGCATGTAATGAAGCATATTTTCAAGTGAATTACCATTTAAAATGAAAATCTTTTGTTCCTTTCAGCGGCCTTTGGCTCTGGGAGCTGATATTTGTATGTATTCAGCAACGAAATATATGAATGGTAAGACATACCTAGTCTACACTTTGAGTGTTCCTTTCCATGGATAGATGAAAATACCACAGGGCTTGATATTTTGATCCTTTTTCTTCTATTATTCAGGTTTTCTCTGTGACTCATGTAGAAAGTAAAAAATTTATACTTTGGTTAAATATGGGATTTCATTTATAGCAGACAAAACTATGCTCATGACTTATGAACAGGATTAAAATTTACCAAAAAAGGTTATAGTTTTATTCTACTGACAGCTTAAAAAGAAACTTTTGATTTTTATATGATTTTTATTTCATTGTTATAGGTATAGGTGTATATATTTGGTACTATCAAATTGAATACAGTTTATTTAAACTTATTTTATAGGGCTTTTTCCCAGAGAGTTTTTTTCAAGTGACAGTTACATTGTAGAAATTTTAGAATGAAGAATAAACGTACATTGTTTTTAACCTAAAGGTTTTTATTTTGTTTTAGGCCACAGTGATGTCGTAATGGGCTTAGTGTCTCTTAATTCTGAGAGCCTCCATAATAGGCTCCGTTTCTTACAAAACTGTAAGTATTAAAAAGTCCAAGAATTCCCCTTATTCTCTCAGAGGGACTACATTTGATATTTGTAGTTCCACTAAATGCTGTGAAGTAATAGCATTCTACTAAATTAGGAAGAAATGAGGAATGGAGGAGAAAGATTCTGGTTTTTAAAGGAAGTAGAAATATTAGGGTATAAAAATATAGTTGGGACATAACAGGGCTTTACAACATGACTCAAGGGATGAATTTTGTTATTTTTCAAATCCATGTTGATTTTGACCATAATTGGGTAAAGCCCAAGTGAATTTTTAGTTTTCAGACTGACTAGATTTTTTTTCTTTAGATAAAACATTTGGAATGATGGCTTTTTTATACTCCACCTTTTATGTCTGGAATGGTGGTTAACTTTAACTAGCACTTAATATATAAACTTATATTTTTCAACAGATGTCTAAACACCATTTCCTGTTTAGATAGTTTAGTTATCTCAAGTATGGGTAAGGATTTATTTGAAGGTGCTTAGTTTAACCATTGTGATTTGACAGATAAGATACAAACATAATTAGGAATAAAATAAATAAGTATTAAATAAATAAAGGAAGTGACGCCTGGGTGGCTCAGTCAGTTAAGGGACTGTCTTCGGGTCATGATCTCAGGGTCCTGGGATCGAGCCCCGCATCTGGCTCCCTGCTCGGCAGGAGGCCTGCTTCTCCCTCTCCCACTCCCCTTGCTTGTGTTCCCTCTCTTGCTGTTTCTCTCTCTGTCAAATAAATAAATAAAATCTTTAAAAAAATAAAATAAAATAAGTAAAAAAATAAATAAAGGAAATAAGCATTAAAGTAAAAAAAAAAAAAAAGAGGCACCAAGGAGGAAAACCAAAACTTACTGCTTGATAAATTCCTTTTATTTATAAAACGTTGAGGTGAGGTACACACCTTGGAGGCATAGTAACTCCTAGGCTGCTTTAGACAAAAGCTAAATAGAATGTTGGTAGAACTTTCAGTAACAATAGGAGCTGAATGCTGTTTTTTCTACATGTTCAAAGAAATACGAGGTTCAACTATGTGCAGTATGTCATTGAATGGAAATCATAGAAAGGACTATTTATGTTCATGTTTGAAATGTTCATATTGTGTTCATGTTTAGTTTGCAGGATCTTCATTTCCCCTCTCATTTTAAAGCCCATTCTTTGAGCGTACTTTAGGCTTCATTCTTATGCTTCTGATTTGATATATTAATTTCTCCCCTAAAACTCAAACATTGGCCTCTGTAGCTCATTTCTCAGAGTCACTATAATGAAAAAGAGAGTGAGAGAATCTTCTGGGTCTCTCCCCCCCTTTCATACTAACCCAGCATATGTTCATTTTGCAGCTCTTGGAGCAGTTCCATCCCCTGTTGACTGTTACCTCTGCAATCGAGGTCTGAAGACTCTACAGGTCCGAATGGAGAAGCATTTCGAAAATGGAATGGCAGTTGCCCAGTTTCTGGAATCTAATCCTTGGGTAGAAAAGGTTATTTATCCTGGTATGTTGATATGATTTCTTTTCTTTTCTTTCTTTCTTTCTTTTTTTTTTTAAGATTTACTTCTTTATTTGAGAGACAGCGTGTGCAAGTTGGGGGGAGGGGCAAAGGGAGAGGGGAGAGAGAATATCCAGCAGACTCCTCGCCGAGCCCAGAGCCAATGCAGAGCTCTCTCTCACAACCCTGAGATCATGACCTGAGCCGAAATCAGGAGTCAGACGCTCAACCGACTGATGCACCCAGGTGCCCCAATGTTGATATGATTTCTAAGAACATATGCTTACACTAGGATTTTATGGGTTATCCTAAGTATCTGTGTATGACACCTGTTGTAAGGTAGCTGCTTTCATGTATTTTTATGTTGTTTATATATTATTGGACACTGCTGTATGTCAGGCTCTGTGGGGGGTTTGGTGGCGAAGATAGACAATGGTCTGTGTCCTTGTGTTGCCTCTGATCTAGTGGTTGCTTTGATGTTAGGAAATTGATTTTACGCATTAGATGTTCCTGCCATGGTCTTTAGCTTGAAGGCTTGTATTTACCTGTTCCAGGATTGCAGCATTGTACTTTCCAGTTGATTTGCTTATAATCTTTTCAGTCTGCCATTCTTCATTAGCTCTTTTATCTGCTTTAGGTTGGGCCTGGATACTCATCAAATTGAGACTTACTACTTACGCAGCAAAATTCCCCTGAAGCTGTCTTACTTCCTTTCCAAATTTTTTCACCTCTGCCAACTCATGTGGAGTTAGCAGACTTATATATTACTCTTTGAATTTATTTTGCCAGTCTTTTAAATTGTGGTGTGGTCTTAAGTAAATAGTTACTTTGAACCCTTTGAGGTTTTAGCCACGTGGTCTTGGTGGACAGGAGAATTAAGCTTGATTCCTGTCCTCAGGGAATTTAGATAAGCCAAGACAGAACTACATATGAGATTAAATGCCCTATATGTCCCCTAGGTTAAAGAGCTGTTGACTGGTATGTATTTTGAATGGAGGGAGGGAGAAGAGTTTCGGCCTGTGCCTTGAATGGGAAGCATTTGTTAGGAGGGCATGGACAGGCATTCCAATTCATTCAACAAATGTTTATTAATTGCCCACGATGGAGCAAGCTTTGAGCTAGGACCTGGGATCCAATTATTAACAAAAGAAATGGAGGTGGCACCTGGGTGGCTCAGTCGTTAAGCGTCTGCCTTCAGCTCAGGTCATGGTCCCAGGGTCCTGGGATCAAGCCCCGCATCGGGCTCCCTGCTCTGCGGGAGGCCTGCTTCTCCCTCTGCTGCTCCCCTTGCTTGTATTCCCTCTCTCCCTGCCTCTCTCTCTGTCAAATAAATAAATAAAATCTTAAAAAAAAAAACCAAAAACGAAAACAAAAGAAATGGATTTCTCCACATGGAGCTAGTCTGATGGATAAGACAGATGTTAAACAAGAAATTACAGAATGACCTAATTAATAGAGGGGAGGATGTTCTGCGTTAAAGGGACAGCTTGTACACAGGTCCTGAGATGAAAAAAAGTGCAGTACTGCTAGTGTAAGGAAAGTTGATGTAGCTCGAGCATGGAGAGGGTAGAAGAGATAGGTCAGAATGAAGCTAGAGGCCAGAACACATCATCAGATGTGGACGTGGTGTAAAGCTCATCATTATTAGGCTTATTTGCAGTTTGCTTTAGGCAAACAGTGAATTTTTTCATTCTGAAATTACATGTTTGACTCTAAAATAAGACTTTTATTGTGCCTCATGATCACAGGGCTGCCCTCTCATCCTCAGCATGAGCTGGCGAAGCGTCAATGCACAGGTTGCCCAGGGATGATCACCTTCTATATTAAGGGCACTCTTCAGCATGCTCAGACGTTTCTCAAGAACCTCAAGGTAAACTTTCAAACGAGGTGTTTTTTTTTTTTTAAAGATTTTTTATTCATTTATTTGAGAGAGAGAGCATGAGAGGGGGGAGGGTCAGAGGGAGAAGCAGACTCCCCGCCGAGCAGGGAGCCCGATGTGGGACTCGATCCCGGGACTCCAGGATCATGACCCGAGCCGAAAGCAGTTGCTTAACCAACTGAGCCACCCAGGCGCCCTCAAACGAGGTTTTTTAAATCGTCGAGGCAGATTCCAGCAGTTCATGATCTCTCCTTTCCACCCAACTCAGATTCACGTCTTTGGACTGCAGGTCACACCCACAGACCTCTTTCTCATGAAATGCTTTGGGTTGGAAAACGACTTTGGTGCAGTAGCAGACATCTGAATATGTTTGTTTATTGAACTCTCCGGACACGGCCATCAGTTTGAGAGAGACGGAATGTCCCGATGCATTGGTTTTAGATTTATTAAAAATCGAACCCCTTTTCCAAATGAAATGTTATGTGAAACTTCCAAGTAATGTGTGGCTAGTGCACGGCACAAAGGCCTCCCTGAAATCCAGCCTAGGAGTGGCTTTCCAGACCTGTGCCTCCCAGGCTGCATCTGCCTGGGGTGAAGGAAGGGAGGCCTTTGTCTGATGTTTCACGCTGCCAGGAGGCTCTCAGGGCCCCCGGGAGAGAGGCCTCTGTAACTCCCTACACTGGGCTTTCAGAGCTCATGCAACAGGCTGAGTTCTAAATACTGAGGTCTAATGCATAGGCTGCTGCCAGATTAGTCAGCGTCCACTGGTATCTAAAAGTTGTACTAAAAGCAGAAAGATAGTGTATGTTTAATTAAATACCGTTGTAAGAGTAATTTTAAAATATTTGTAAAATTATGACACTGTAACACTAAATAACAAAAACAGGTTTTGTTTTTTTTTTCCTACTCCAGGAGGGAGTTAAATGGATGTATTAATTTAGTAAGTGATACATTTTAACAAGTAAGTGTGTATGTATTAATTTAGTAAGTGATTAATTTTAACAAGTGTGTATAACTTGGTAGCCTTTAGAGATTTTTATTTAAAGGGTAACCACAGAACTAGGTCTCAAACGTAATAATGCTGAGGTTTTAGGGCTCGTGTTAGTTAAGTATCACTTAAGTAGAGGGCCAAATCAGGAAGGTAGGAGAGATTCGCCTTCCTCAACTTGTAATGTTTTAAAAGTTGGCACCTCGTATGTCTAATCAGTGCCATCAGTGTTACAGATTTTATTTTCATTTTTTCTCTGGGCTTCTTGCCCAAATTGTACTTTTTTTTCATAATCACCACCATTTCTCACCCTGTGTCCAGGGCCATTTTGTTAAAAACATTTAGTTTTGTATTTTTGTATTTTTACGTTAGTCAAAGATCTAAATGAATGTTTTCTTTGCTGTAGTTATTTACTCTGGCTGAGAGCTTGGGAGGATACGAAAGTCTTGCTGAGCTTCCGTGAGTATATTTCCGTTTTTCTCAGTGTTTTAACTTTGGTAACATCAGGAGTAATTCAAGACATTTGACAATAAGAATAGCATCGAGCTATTTAATCAGAATGGACCCAGTAGAATGGGGACCCTGATAAAAATCTCAGCTGTATGTGTCCTCCCCAATTTTGCTTCCTTCCGTTCTGCCTGAAGGCGATTCCAGCAGAGTTGTAGTTTAGGATTTCTGACCTTTGACACGGGGCTACTTGTTCTATCCCACTCTGCCCTGGAAGGGGGGTTGGAGGCTTTTATGAGATGGGCTGATTTCAAGGCTTCTTAGAAATGGATGAAATACTTCCATGCCCTTGACAGTCAGAGATGCCACCGAATCCATTTATTTTCTGTTCTCTGGATAAACCTTGAATGGCTTCATGTTATCTGCAAGATAAACCCAAAATCTACCTTGGTATTCCTGATCCGATCAGTTCATCTAATTGTATCAAAGCACCAGAGGATGTTAGAACATGCAGCCTGAGATCAGGGATCCAATAGCTTATTTTATAGATAAGGAAACAAAGATTCAGAAAGTTTTGCTGATTACTCAGATGTCACATAGGAATCTGTTACCAACTTCACTCTTGAGGCTTTGCATAGAAACAATGAGAGGAGGCAAAAGCAGCCTGGATCTGGATTTGAGACCTACTCCACCAGTTACTCGCCTCCGAGCTTCCGTCCATAAAATGGGATTAGTAATTAAAATAACAATGATCATTTATTGATTACCTGTCCCACCAAGCATTCCAGAGCTGTAGCCTGATTTTATCTGATGTTACTCTGCTCATGTATTGTAAATATTGCACTGGTGATGAACATCATTACCTGATAACTTTCAAGAGTACTAAATGCACCCAGCATGTTGCTGTGTTTTAATTTTCATACACATTTCTGGAATAACTGTTCTGGAGGCACTATGTTAAGGGGTGTCAGGGATTACCACAATTTAGACACATTTGCCATCCTCTCCATGGTAATTTGCAGCTTCTTGGAAGAGTCAGGCAGTTTCACATAAAGTTAAAGAAAAAAAATGTATGATACCCAAAGAATACTCAAATAATTAAGATAACACAAATAGGTTTTTGTGTCTTTCAAGAAGATGCCTGCTAGTAAGTCTGGATGCACAAGAGGGCACACTCAGCATATGAAATTGGGTTATTTTTCATAGTCATAAAATGGGTATTACTTTAAGGCTCTCTTAAGAATCGACACCTCCTGATTTCTTCAGGGATTTGGTTTAAAGTTGCTTGGCCCTCAGATGTACCAGCCAGCTAGGCCATCCCCAATGTCTGCCAGTGGACGAGTGAATTTAGATCAGGGCTTGTCTGTTCTTGCCTCATTCTGTGACTCCCAACCGCTGCAACGAGTACAGAATTGCAATAGGGGAGGGAGGGAGCAGAGCCAATGTGCGCTGGATTGGTCTTCCAGCCTGATGATGCATATTAACTCCGCAACCTCAGAAAAGTTACTTATGTTCTCTCAGTCTGTTTCCTCGGTTGTAAAATGTGGATAACACTGTACTTAGCTCTTAGGGTTGTTATGAGAACATGGGGGAAAAATATCCCTAAGCCAGTGCCTTGATTCATACTAAGGGCCCAATAAATGTTAATTATTATTAGGAATTATTATGTTTTATTAGGCATCTAATACACTCCAGGTACTTGCAAATGCTTTATATATGTTCCTTCCATTAATGACTGTGATAAACTTTTGGGATAGGACTTATATCCAACTTCTATTCATTTAAAAGAAAATGAATTAATGCACACAAATGACCTAGTAGAGTACCTGCCTCATGGTAGGCCTATAATAAGTGATAGCTACTGTTATGATTTTAGATAAAGAAATTGATTGTGAGGACAGGTAACTTCTACCAGCCCACACAGCAAGTGTGTGAAGGGGCTGATTCACGTACAGGTCTATTGATCTCACAGGCCTAAATTCCTATTTTTATGTGTATACTCTCTTTTGAGGAATTAAAAGCCTGAAAAGGCAGAACATTTTTTATTTTATTTTATATATTTTTAAAAGATTTTATTTATTTATTTGAGAGAGAGCACAAGTGGGGTAAGGAGCAGAGGAAGAAGCAGACTCCAGCAGGGTGAGGGTCAGAGAGGGAGGGAGAAGCAGGGAGCCCAATGCGGGGCTCCATCCTGGGACTCCAGAACCACGACCTGAGCTGAAGGCAGACACCCAACTGACTGAGCCACCCAGGCACCCAAGGCAGAACATTTTTTTTTTTTTTAATTATGTTATGTTAGTCACCATACAATACATCATTAGTTTTTGATGTGGTGATCCACGATCCATTGTTTTCGAATAACACCCAGTGCTCCATGCAGTACGTGCCCGCCTTAATACCCATCACCGGGCTAACCAATCCCCCCTCCCCCCTCCCCTCTAAAACCCTGTTTGTTTCTCAGAGTCCATAGTCTCTCATAGTTCATCTCTCCCTTCGATTCCCCCCTTTCAGTTTTCCCTTCCTTCTCCTAATGTCCTCCATGCTATTCCTTATGTTCCACAAATAAGTGAAACCATATGATAATTGACTTTCTCTGCTTGACTTATATCACTTAACATAATCTCCTCCAGTCCCATCCATGTTGATATAAAAGTTGGGTATTCATCTTTTCTGATGGCTGAGTAATATTCCATTGTATATATGGACCACATCTTCTTTATCCATTCATCTGTTGAAGGGCATCTCGGCTCTTTCCACAGTTTGGCTATTGCGGACATTGCTGCTATGAACATTGGGGTGCATATGGCCCTTCTTTTCACTACATCTGTGTCTTTGGGGTAAATACCCAGGAGTGCAGTTGCTGGGTCATAGGGTACCCAAGGCAGAACATTTTAAGGAGGATGTTGGCATATACCACTTCAGTAGCGTGATCAAAGAAGATACTCAAAATGTTGACCACATCTGAGATTTTCTCTCCATGGATCTGAAGTGAGATAGGACAGAGCAACTTAGGCATTGATTTGCGGGTAGTGTGCCCAGAAAGGATGAGTGTTGGTAGCAGTGTATGTATGTAGGGCTCAGTGAGACTATAAGCCTCTCCTCCATGGTGCCTCAGCCTCAGCCCGCACAGTTTTCTGCCTCCTCTCAACTCTGGCAGTCCTTGCTGTCCATTCTTGTTTGGCATGTACTGTAGACTATTCTGTTCTGTGAATTGTCATAGACTTTGGCTTCTGCTTCGTCATGTAGGGCCGAGACAAATATCTCGTTTTTCTTGGTTTCCCAGTTCTTACTGTAGTGCCTGACCCACAGTAGGTGCTTTACCTTTCTATCATGTTAATGATGATGAGTTGTTAGCTAATTTTGAAAATCCTTCCAGGCCTCTACATTCATGGGTTATGTGCTGGAATTCCTAATGCTCACTGGTTGCCACTGGTGTTGTTACTGGGTTGTCTTTCCCTGATCTGCCTCACAAGGTGCCATTCTGGATTAATCCATTGATTGGGAGGGAATTAATTCTGGCTGGCTCTTGGTCCAACGGGCCTTTTATAAGTCCAGCTGGTTGGTCATGGAGTATATGACTGTTGGCCAAAGCTTCCTTCAGGCAGATGTTAAAATCCACAGCTAGAGGCTATCTTTTTCCCTCCTGCCTGGGAGTGCTTGATTGGCACATTCAGTGTTTGGATTAAGTATACTGATGGTATAGAAAGGATAAAAGATCTTACAATAATAATCAGAAAAGGTAATTTTCTTAATTCCTTATTTTTTTTGCCTGTGAAAAATTATGGGCATATGAAGAATTTGATATTTAGAAAAGAAAAAAACTGAAAATAATTGCAATTTATGAGACAGATACAATATAGTTATCAAAAAATTGCTCATTCTTTCTTTTAGGGCAATCATGACCCATGCATCAGTACCTAAGAGTGACCGAGATGTCCTTGGAATAAGTGACACACTGATTCGACTCTCTGTGGGCTTAGAGGATAAAAAAGACCTACTCGAAGATCTAGGTCAAGCTTTGAAGGCAGCAGTAAGTTTAATTATTTTGGTGTGTTTGTGGGCTTAATCTTGGGGGTGGTGGTCATTCTTTCATTTTTTTTTTTTTTTAAAGATTTTATTTATTTGAGACAGAGAGAATGAGAGACAGAGAGCATGAGAGGGAGGAGGGTCAGAGGGAGAAGCAGACTCCCTGCCGAGCAGGGGGCCCGATGTGGGACTCGATCCCGGGACTCCAGGATCATGACCTGAGCCGAAGGCAGTCGCCTAACCAACTGAGCCACCCAGGCGCCCCATTCTTTCATTTTTTAAAAAGATTTATTTATTTATTAGAGAATGCAGAGGGAAGGGGCAGAGGGAGATGGAGAGAGAGAATCTCAAGCAGACTCCCTGCCGAGCACACAGCCTGACTTGGGGCTTAATCCTATGATCCTGAGATCATGACCTGAGCCGAAATCAAAAGTCAGACACTTGGGACGACTGGGTGGCTCAGTCAGTTAAGTGTCTGCCTTCGGCTCAGCTCATGGTCCCAGGGTCCTGGGATCGAGTCCTGCGTCGGACTCCCTGCTCGGTGAGGAGCCTGCTTCTCCCTCTCCCACTCCCCCTACTTGTGTTCCCTTTCTCTCTCTAACAAATAAATAAATAAAATCTTTAAAAAAAAAAAAAGTTACTCAGTCAACTGAACCACCCAGGCGCCCTGGTGGTTACTTTTTTTTAGAGTGGCCTCACTGTGAATTCTGAAGGTTTCCTCTTCTCTTCCTATGATAGACAGGCTGTATAAATGTGCAAGGAAGTCAGCTGAAGTGCAGATTTAAAAAATGGTTGTATTCAGAAAAGAGTCCTTGGAAGAAGTGAAGTCGTTGCCTGCAGTTTTAATAACATATTTTTCTTGTGCACCTTTAATACAGCACCCTCCAAATGCAGGTCGTAACTAGCATTCCAGAACTGCTAGTAGAAGTCGCTTCCTGAGAAGATCAACTCTTCGTAATTGAATGGACCATTAATGAGCCTTTGCAGAATTTTCAAGTGAAAATTTTAAGGCACCTCATTACCTTTCAGAGCTGTAACCTTTCAGGGATCATCCTTATTAAAAACAGTTTCCTCTTTACCTTATTGTAATTGACAGGTCAATTCTGTTAATATCTTTTATTAATTTTGGTATCCATTTGCCTCTGAAGGAGGTGGGATTTGTGCTGCTTTTTGGGATTGTGATCTTTTTTCATAGCTTAAGATTTATATTGATCATGTTTACAATAGAATGATAATTCATTTTTTATGTTTTTCTGAAGAATTTAAATTATTAAATGAATGTTCTTAAATCAAGTGTGATTTTTGCATATTGTTGAAAACAGCACTCAAAGCAGTGGTTTACACATAATTATCATAAACCAAAAATCAAATACTTGAAAAGCCTACTGTGAAATTCTGCTGATATAAGGTTGTACTTACTATTTAAAAAATAAATAAATAAATCTAATTACCAAATGTATCCCATTGTGATATTCCTGTATTATGTGGCATTAACTTGTATTCCTTTTAATCCTCAACTCTTAGAGGTCTCAGCCACTTGCAGTAATTTTTGTAAATTTGGTTGTATAACTATCATGTCCAAATCTTAGTGTTTGCAGATTATAGATTTTATCAGGGGAGTCAAAAGCCACTTTTATAGAGAGACATACTACTTTTTATATTTTTATCTGTAATAGTAAACTTAGTGACGCAAAGAGAGAAATGCTTGAAACAGAATCTTTTAGAGTTAAGTGCATAGTCAGCAAATTATTGTTAATAAGCTGTAAGTCAAATAGATTTTTTAAATTGTTTTTATGTTAAAGGCTTTCAGTCATTTGTTTGCTATTGCCATTTGTTTCACCTTAAAAAAGCTTATCCTTGAACTTGATTAGTAATACAGGATAGGAGGCCAATACATAAGATTTCGTGTTATGTATTGTTCACATTTTGAATTACATGACAGAGTCTGGAAATTCTGGCTCTGGACAGCGTGTTTTGAGGCTATACCTTAGTGTCGGGGAAATAACAAAGACCAACCAAATCAGAAAAGCAAGGACTATTTGTTCTAAGCTTACAAGGGAGTCAGCTACTGTCACTTGTGTTTTGACAGAGATTCAAAGGGAAGCAGAGCTTGAAGAATTGTAGAAATTTTAGTATCTGTTGATGTGGATGAGAAACTAAAATTTTGGTATTTAAAACTGTCAGAGGACCTTTAAATGGATAACATTAAATCACTGTCAGAAATGTTAAAAAAAAAACTGAAAAATTAAGGCTGACAGAGAAATGGACAAGCTTTGTAGTGTAAAAAAGGGAAGGTTTGGGGCACCTGGGTGGCTCAAGTCGGTTAAGTGCCTGCCTTTGGCTCAGGTCATGATCCCAGCATCCTGGGATCGAGCCCCACATCGGGCTCCCTGCTCAGTTGGAGTCTGCTTCTCCCTCTACCCCTTCCCTCTGCTCGTGCTCTCTCTCTCTCTCTCTCACAAAAATAAATGAATAACATGTTAAAAATAAATAAATAAAAAAGGGAAGGATTCAGGTATGCCCTGGTTGGAGGGTGCTGGCATGGGGAAGCTGTAGACAGCCTCATTTGAAGTAGGACATCCGAGGCAATTGGTTAAGGGTGCATATTTGGCATTGTAGGGTTGATCCTCAGTTGAAAACAGAGACAAAAATTAGGGAAACTGTCAGTTATTAATCAAGTGCTGGCCATTTGGGGCTGATTGTTTCAGAAGTTACTGTTTAGCTTCCTGAATTGTCACTAGAGATAGCAATCAGGTTTCCTGCGGGTCTGACTTAGAACAGGCAGGCTTCTTCCTTGTTTGTTTTTGGTAGATAAAGGGTTTGGTTTTCTGGAGAGGTTTGCTGCAGATTGTAGGTCAAAGTTCTATTTTTATATATTGTCTATCCACTGTCCATTTATCTATTCAGTCTCTCAGAGCTTCTAGTGAGCAGTGACTATCCTTGTATTAGTAAGGGTTCTCTAGAGGAACAGATCAGAGAGAGAAGAGACACTGTGTGTGTGTGTGTGTAGAGAGAGAGAGAGAGAGAGTGATTTTAAGTAATTGGCTAACATTGACTGTGGGGCTGACCTGTCTGACATATATGGGGCAGGCTGGAGACTCACTTAAAAGAGTTGTTGCTATCTTTTGTTCAAAATCTGCAGAGCAGGCCCGCAAGCTGGAATCTCAGACTGTTTCTGTCGTAGGCTGGAAGCAGAATTGCTTGGCCTTCAACTGAGTGGATGAAAGTCACCCACATTATGGAGCCTGGTCTCCTTTACTCAAAGTCTACTGATTTAATGCGAATCACATCTAAAAATTATCTTCCCAGTGACATCTGAACTGGTATTTGACCAAACAGCTGGGTACCATAAGCCTAGCCAAGTTGACACATAAAATTTACCATCACAACCATGTTTTAAGCACTGTTCTTACTGCCTGAGGAAGCACCATCCTGTTTGTTATGGTTTATGAGGTTTATCCACAATTTTTGGTTATCTGCAAGCACATCTCTCTCCATTAACATAGTTTACACTGAGACAACGATTTAGTGTTTAAACAATGCACCCTCCACCTCCCACCCCCTTCATAATACATCTGGCTTTGTAGAAGGGAAATAATTAGCCACGTTCTGGTCGGGGGTAAATGAAGTCAGGCTTCCAGAACACTAATGTTCACTGAATGGCTTTATAGGGCATTTTATTCAAAATTCCATTCTACCCTCATGTTTACTATATTCACTGTTGAAATTCGGAGTGAAATTAGTATCTGATACCAAAGCTAGTGGGTACCATCTTAAGTAGCCACATAGCATCGTGTTTATTATATTCAGCTAGATAACATTTAGGAGAAATTATAGCCATGATAAAGTATAACAAGCTCATTTCTTTTACTTGTGGCTCAATTTAGTCATGTATTTGTATCTGAGAGCTTATTCATAGCTGACTTCAGGCTGCTTTCTATTGCATAATAAAAGAAATGGCACCTATTCTTCCACTCAGTGCTCTTGTATGTTTTCTTAGTTTTTTAGTGAATTCTGTCTTTGGTAAGGTTGGTAAGGCAGTCCATTATTTTGGAATTTTGTGCCAAAGACTACTAGTTCTGAGATGTGAGGGGTAAATAGAAAGTAACCATGAAATCTGGAATCTTTTTTAAAAAATTAAGACATCCTTTTTTAAACACAGAGTAGCCTTAAATGACCTGAATTCCATGGAAAAGCCAAGAAACACTTGGGAACTACAAATTTATTTTCACAAAGATTGAAATCTAATACTCTGTAATTTTATAAAGTGAAAATAGTACAATTACCTAATTACTCAGGTGGACCCAAAGAAAATTTCAGGGCAAAGGAAAGAAAGCTTGTAATGCATTTTAGAGAAACACAAAAGAGAACACAAATGCTTCATAAGAAAACCATTAGGCCAATAACAAAAAAAAAAAAAAAAAAAAAAGAGAACATGGTTAAACCAGAAGACATCTAGTAACAAAGGTAATATTATTCAAACTAACGAAACTTCTCTTAGAAATTATCCAAAGATAAATAAGAAAAAAAAATAATAATTTCCATCTCCACAGTAAAAGAAACCCTGATTCCATTTGCTTCATAATACAAATGCAAACTTAAGAAAAAAATAAGTACAATGAAAAATATAATTGCTTTGGGGTAGAAATTAAAGATTAGTTGAAGAAAGGATTGCTGTATTTCTTTTTCTTTTTTAATATCCACATTTGATTCAATGTTGACTTATTGCTCACAAAATCAATCTAAACTTGTTCCAGTGAGAACTGTCAGAAACTGCAAACATTCCCAGTCTTTTGAGTAAAATGCCTCTGACTGAACACATAGAGCCTAGTGCTAGGGATTAGAGATTTCTCACTTCATTACTATTTTTATTATACTTTTATATCTCAGTTTCTTCAGTTAGAAAAAAGTTCAGGCCTGGCTTTTCTGTGTGTTTTTGTTTTCATTTGTTAGCTCATTTGTTCTCATACCTAACCGTTAAATTAGAAGGCGCAAGTACAGTCCATTTTCTACAGACAAAGAAAGGAAGATTCAGAGTGGTTTTGTGACCGATCCTTATTACACAGCAGAGTCAGGGTTACAACTCGGATTTTCTGAACTCATTTCATTGTTCCAGTGCGTCATTTTAATCGAGTATAAAGAATTCTTAAGCTGACTAGAAAACCACTCTTGAAATTGCAAGAGTTGTTATTATGCGATCAAGTTCTCATAAGGAAAACCCTCGGTTCTAGTGGGGAAAGAGAATAGGGTGGCCACTCTCTAAGATGGACATGGATTTTAGTCATACAGCTTATTTTATTTTGAATAAGAGTGTCCAGCAAAGTCTAGCCTTGGCCTGCTTCTCAAGGAGTGATCTCTGAAATAAATGCCCTACAGAAATGGGGACCAGGGGACTTAGCTTTCATAGTTCTGTATTACTCAGTCATCAGTTACGGACTGGGGAGGGGGAAGGGCAGGGAAGGTGGTGGTGGTGGAAGAGGGTTTGGGTAACCTCCCTGATTAAGTGGCTCCAGCCAGCACAGGGCAGTTCTTTGGAGAAGGGTGGATGGGTGCCCTGGTATGGTAAAGGATATCCAATGGGTACTAGAGTATGTTATGCCTTGTCCATGGGTATTTGATAACCTCCAAGCCAATCTAAAAAAGTTACTGTGGCTATAATGTGCTTATTGGAATATGATGAAATTTTCCCCTTCCTCCCTTCCTTCCATAATATTTTTTTCTTTTTTGGAAACATGATTTCATTCTTTTTTTTATTTTTATTTTTATATATATATTTTAAAGATTTTATTATTTATCTGAGAGAGAGAGGGATAGAGCACAAGCAGGAGGAGCAGCAGAGAGGGAGAAGCAGGCTCCCCGCTGAGCAGGGAGCCCGATGCGGGGCTCGATCCCAGGAGCTTGGGATCATGACCTGAGTCGAAGGCAGACGCTTAACCAACTGAGCCACCCAGGCGCCCCCATGATTTCATTCTATAGAGTTTAAGCAGTTACAGGTATAGGGGCCAAGGGCAGGCCGCCTCAAGATGGGCCACTTTGGCATGAAGGTTATTTTTTAGTTAAAAAGCAGTCAAAACCCAGTGGCTTCAGGAAAAGCTTTTTACCGCCCCACCCCTCCACCCCTCCCACCCCCACTTACTTGCCTGAAAAGAATTTAGAGAGAGGACCTGCTCCAGGGAGAGAGATATCACCATAGATAACTACATTATACTATGAACTAGGAGTGATAGAGAAAAACCTAGCAATGCCTGTTTGATCAAAGTCCTCTATTTGGTCCAGCAAACATTTGTGTACCAAACATTTACTCTTTTTCATCTTCCTGTGAATTGTATTTTTTCCCTTTAAAGTCCCGCACTCGGAGTGCCTGAGTGGCTCAGTTGGTTAAGCGGCTGCCTTTGGCTCAGGTCATGATCCCAGGGTCCTGGGAGGGAGCCCCAAGTTGGGCTCCCTGCTCAGCAGGGAGTCTGTTTCTCCCTCTCCCTCAGCCACTCCCACTGCTTGTGCTCTAAGTAAATAAAATCTTTAAAAATAAATAAATAAATAAATAAAATCTTTATAAATGAATGAATGAATAAATAAATAAATAAAGTCCC